TCCAACTTGGAGCGAATTTTCCAAGGCTCTTTGTCAAGAATTTGGGCCCTCAGAGTTTGAAGACTGCACCGAGGCCCTGTTTAAGCTCCGGCAAACAGGTAGTCTTCGCGATTATATCACTGAGTTCCGCCGTTTGGCTAATCGAACATCTGATGTCGGCCTTAGCTTGTTGAAAAGTTGTTTTCTAGGCGGTTTAAAAAGAGAGTTGAAATTTGATGTTAAGTTGTTCAAACCTTCTAATGTGCATGAAGCCATTTCTCTTGCCTTACAACTTGATGCCAAATTGTCTGAGTTAAAACCTCTAGCCTCCAAACTTGTCACTCTCCCTCGAGCTACCTCAACCCCTGCACCTCCTGCTTCTTTGCTTAGACCCAAACCTTTTGCTTTGCCATTCAAGAAACTTACACCTGAAGAGGTCTAACAGAAGAAAGCGAAGGGTGAATGTTGGTTTTGTGATGATAAATGGGTTCTTGGACATAAGTGTGCACATAAACAACTTCTCATGCTTGATATCCTTGCTGATGACTTGGTATTGGAGGATTCAGATGTGATTACACCCACGGATCAACCTGAATTGCACCACATGGAGTTGAGTGAGAGTGCCTTTTATGGCACACCTCATCTTCAATCCTTACACACTATGAAAGTAGCTGGATTAGTGAATGGTCATACAGTACGCATACTCCTCGATTCTGGAAGTACTCATAATTTTGGGGATGGCTGGTTGGTTAAGAAATTAGGATGGCATATGCAGGGCACTAAACCCTTCAACGTGATGATTGCGAATGGGGGAAGGGTTAGAAGTCAGGGATATTGCAAGCAGGTGAAAATGGAAGTATGGGGTTACTAGTGTGCTACTGACCTCTATTCTTTGCCTTTGGGAGGTTGCGATGTAGTCCTAGGAGTTCAGTGGCTATCCTCGGTGAGCCCGGTACTTTGGGATTTTCAACTTCTGACCATGGAGTTTGAAGTAAATGGCCAAAAGTATAGATTGGAACATAGTGCACTTCCTCACCCATCAATACAGGAAATATCTCTTCAGCAACTTGACAAGGAATTCTACATGGAAACTGAAAAACTTGAAGCCTCAGAACTTACTCCATTGCAGCTCAGTGAATTATAGGCTTTATTGGGTACCTTTGAGGAGATTTTTGTGCTTTTTGTCTCACTGCCTCCGCCGAGACCGCATGATCACCAGATTCCATTACTTCCAGGTTCTAAACCACCTAGTATCAGGCCATACCATTACGGTCCTACACAAAAAAATGAGATTGAAAAAGCAGTTCAAGAGCTTTTACAATCTGGATTCATTCGACACAGCCGCAGTCCCTTCTCGTTTCCCATTTTGTTGGTAAAAAAGAAAGACGGCACATGGCGACTTTGTATGGATTACCGAGAGTTGAATGCAATCACAGTAAAGGACAAGTATCCAATTCCCTTAATCGATGATTTGCTGAATGAGTTGTTTGGGGCACAGTATAGGGCTGGGTTCGGTTCTTTTCGGTTCGTTTTTTTGCCAAAACCGAAACCAAACCGAAATTTCAGTTCAGTTCGGTTCGGCCCATATTTTTTTCGGTTTTTTTCGGTTCGGTTTTTTTTTCGGTTCGGTTTTTTCGGTTCGGTTTCGATTTTTTTTCGGTTTTTTTTTTTTTTCCCTCCAAAAAATGAAAATTTAGATGTTATCCATAAGAGATTTACAACCCACCAACTGAACAAAACCCACATAAATGTTTCAAAGAATTAGACTTTCTAAGACCCTTTTGGAGCAACAAAGTAAAAACCCAGAAAACTTTACCTTGCAAATCCAACAACCAGAGAAATGAAACCAGGTGGGCCTGCAAATTTTCCCGAGAAACAAACAGAAAAAAACAGGTCCAGTAACCTAAACAAACATCTGAGACAAGTGATATGATTCAGTACTTCTAAACTCCACCTTCTGTTATGAACTTATGTTTGCATACTGCTGTACTTTTTGGCATTGGGTTGTAAAGAACAATTAACAGCTACTTCATTGCTTCATCCAGCATCCTGAAAAATGTAAATGCTTCATCCAGAATTTAATCACCAGTGCAGACATGGCGAGAGTACAGAACAAGCAAGCATCACAGTGCAGACATGGCGAGAGTGCAGAACAAGCAAGCATCACAGTGCAGAACCAAAATTTTTTTTTTTCTCAAATCGAAGATCAGATTAAACGCCAAATCCATTAAAGCATAATCAAAACTAAAGTGCTTAACTTGACAGTCGCTAATTTCATTTCAATAACAAAAACACGAACCCAAATGAAATCGATCGAAATCAATCGACGTTTTGCATGATATCCTCTGCGGTGAACTTGGTGCCTTTGTCCTTGTCAGCGGCGGCGCGGCCCTTGGCCTTGCGGTCCAGCAGAGACTTGCAGTCCTTGTCGAGGCGGAGCTTGGTGATGACGACCTTGGAGGGGTTGATGCCGACATTGACGGTGGACCCGTTCACCTTCTCTCGGGTGATCCGCTCGATGTGGATGACCAACTTCCGGTGGTACACCTGGACAACCTTGCCCTCGCGGCCCTTATAGGTCCCACGCACGACCTGGACCTCGTCGTCCTTGCGCACCGGCATCGATCGGACATCTGGAGGAGAGGAGGCTCGGCGAGAGAGAGGAGGCTTGGCTGCGCTGGGTTGGGGTTACACTGGAGGAGAGGAGGCTGGGAACGAGAGAGAGGAAGGGAATGAAAAAAAATAAAAGGTATGGGTATGGTTGCTAGGGTTAAAGGGTTAAAGGGTTTTGTTAAGTTCTCCAAAAAATAAAAAAACATCTCAGACATCCTGGAGGATCGAACCCGTGCCTTGGGGCTTGAAAAGGTTCACCGAAACCAACTTAGCAACAAGGTATGTTTTGTTATGATTGTATGACTAAACTATTTATAATATTTAAAAAAAAATTAAATATATATATCGGTTCGGTTCGGTTTCCGAACCTCAAAAACCGAAACCGAACCGGTCAGATTCGGTTCGGTTCGGTTTGACAGTTTCGGTTCGGTGTTTTTTCGGTTCGGTTTTTTTCGGCCTCGGTTCGGTTTGGTTTTCGGTTTTTTTCGGTTTTCGGTTTTTTGAACCCACCCCTAGCACAGTATTTCTCCAAATTAGACTTGAGAGCTGGATATCACCATATTTGAATGCATCATGCAGACGTTGAAAAAACTGCATTTTGGACACACGACAGGCACTACGAGTTCCTTGTGATGCCTTTTGGTTTGACCAACGCCCATGCCACCTTCCAGAATCTAATGAATGACATATTTAAGCCATTTTTGAGAAAATGCATGCTAGTGTTCTTTGATGATATCCTAGTTTATAGCAAGAGCTGGGAGGACCATTTATCTCATCTCCACTTGGTTTTTGATTTACTGAGGAAGCATCAATTATATGTCAAGAAGCAGAAATGCTCATTTGGGCAAAGTAAGGTTGAATACATCGGGCACATCGTGTCTCGAGACAGAGTTGCTGCGGACCCTACCAAAATACAGGCCATATTGAACTGGCCAATTCCTTCTAATGTTAAAGAACTCAGGGGATTCTTGGGCCTCACGGGTTACTACCGGAAATTTATGCCAGGTTATGGAAAGATATGTCAACCACTTTACCAAGAAAGATGGGTTTCATTGGTCTAGTGATGCTCAAACAGCCTTCCAGCAACTCAAACAGATCATGACATCTCCCCAGGTTTTTGCCTTACCTGATTTTTCCACTACTTTTGAACTAGAATACGACACATCAGGGAATGGTATTGGAGCAATCTTGCAACAAAGAGGCAGACCAATCACTTTTACAAGCCAGGCCCTTGGACCCAGGAACCAAGCTCTCTCTACCTATAAGCGAGAGCTAATTGCCATAATGCACGCCATCAAGAAATGGCAGAATTATCTTCAAGGGCGCCACTTTGTGATTAAGTCCGACCACAACAGCTTGAAATACTTCCTAAACCAGCGCGCTAACACCCCCATTTTAGCAAAAATGGGTGGCAAAATTGCTAGGATTCGATTATGAGATCCAATACAAGCAAGGGGTGGACAATTCTGTAGCAGATGCATTGTCTAGAGTTCATGGATCCCTGGTACTATCTGACAATCATTCTCCAAGTTCCAGACCTAGTTTGGAGTGCACAGCCATCTCATATCCTTATTTTGGGTGGTTGGATGACCTCCGAATGAGTCTTGAGCATAATCCGTGGGTTTCACAGAGAATCAGTGAAGTTAAAACTTTGCTCCAGAACACTAACTCCCCACTGGATCCCACGTTATCTAAATACCAACTATACAATGGCTTTTTGAAGTACAAGACTAGAATTGTGATTGGTCCAACTTCTCCTTGGAAAAAGACCATATTTGAAGAACATCACTCCATTCCGGCAGCTGGACATGAAGGAGTTCTGAAGACCTACCACAGGATTAAACGCAGTTTCTATTGGGTGGGCATGAAAAAGGACATAAAGACTTAGGTGGCTGAATGTCGAGTTTGCCAACAAAATAAGTACGAGATTATTGCCCCTCCTGATTTATTACAGCCACTCCAAATACCTTCTAAGGTGTGGACAGATATAAGCATAGACTTTGTGGTTGGGTTACCCATTTGCAAAGGTAAATCAGTCATCATGGTGGTGGTCGACAAATTATCTAAGTACAGTCATTTCATTGCCCTGAATCACCCATACACCGTTGTGATTGTGGCCCAAGAATTTGTGGATAAAGTATTCAAATTGCATGGCATGCCAGCCACAATTGTGAGTGATAGGGACACGATGTTCCTTAGTTCATTTTGGAAGGAATTCTTCAAATTACAAGGGTCTAGGCTTTGCATGAGCTATGGTTATCACCCACAGAGCGATGGGCAAACTGAAGTAGTCAATGTGTTTGGAGACTTATCTTCGGTGTTTCACTAGTGGGCAACCTAAGAAATGGCTGGAATGGCTACCATGGGCAGAATAGAGCTACAATACATCTTATCACACTTCTGCAAAAATGTGTCATTTTGAGATTGTGTATGGATACCCCCTACCCCACATCAGGTCCTATGAAATTGGTTCGGCCAAGTTAGACATGATTGAGAAAAGCCTTATTGCCAAGGACAAATTGCTTGCCATGCTCAAAACAAATCTAACTGTTGCACAGAATCGAATGAAAATGCAAGCTGATAAACATATGAATGAAAGAGAGTTTGCAGTGGGGAATTTAGTGTACTTGAAATTGATCCCTTATCAATTACAGTCACTAGCTTCACACTCCTATCACAAACTCCATCCAAAGTTTTATGGGCCATTTGAGATTTTGGAAAGAATTGGGAAGGTAGCCTACAAGTTGAAACTGCTTGATACTACAAAGATATACCCTGTATTCCATGTGAGTTGTTTGAAGAAGCATTTGGGTCCAGCTGCCAACCCTCTACCAGTTCTGCCAGCAGTCACAGATGATGGATTGCTCCATCAATAACCTCTTCAGGTGCTGCAGCGAATGATGTATAAGAAGGGCAATGTGGCGGGTGTCCAACTACACATTCACTGGAAAGGGGGCAACTTGGAATATGCAACTTGGGAGGATTTGACAAGTTCACTGCACAATTTCCTGATTTCAATTTTTAACCTTGAGGACAAGGTTATTTCTTCAAGGGGAAGGCAATGTTATGAATTAGTCACTTAGCTTATAAACTTAGTGATTATCTTAATCGCTGTTTAGTTTTAAGATTTAATAGCTTAATTAGTCTATTAAGTGGTTGTAATTGCCATCTGGCAACTTAGTGGTTGCAAAAGTTGTATAAGACCCAACACAAGTATCCGTGGAAAAGGGATTGAATGAATTAAGAAAATACTCTTAAAAAATATACTCTCTCTCTGTTTCTCCTTCCTTCACCTCCACACCATTGTTACTACAGTGCGACTTGCAGGTTTGAGATAGGGTCAGAGTGTTGATCTTATCACGGTGAGGTCACTGAGACTGAGATGAAGGTGAGGCGCCGTGTGAGGTTGATCGAGAGAGACATAGAGAATGATTTGAGTCTCTGAGTTAATGAGAAAGAAGAGAAGGGTAACCTACAATGGATAGCTGAGATTAAATCTCAGCCGATCCAATGGTCATCAATGTTTTAGATTTAATTTAATATATATATATATATATATATATATAATATTATATTATATTATAGTTTTTAGGGGTATAAAATTGTTAAATTAATATATGTAATTATTATAGTTTATTCGTACTTTCATTAAGTATAACATACTGTAAATATTTTAAATTGAAGATCGAGTTCATTCATTCTATTCATATAGGGTTAAGGAGTGTAGGTATAAAAAATCATCAAAATCGGAGTTAAAATAACTGCTAAATCATGATTTTTCGTTTATAACCATCGAAAAGTTTTGTCTCGTTACTTGATCTCTGAATGTTTGTTTTTTGCAATTTTTGGTGCATGCGATCTCGAAGTATATACAAACATGTTTGACGGTTGGATCGTTGAAACTAGTTTTGTAGAATACGTATCCCATCAAAACAATAGATTTACTAACACTTAAAAGTTCATCCATAATTTCATTAAGTATAACATAAGATTTTGTGGTATCCACAAGTGTAAATATTTTAAATTGAAGATCGAATTCATTCATTGTATTCATATAAGGTCAAGGAGTATAGCTGTAAAAAAACATCAAAATCGAAGTTACAATAACCGTTAAATCGTGATTTTTCAATTTATCACCGTCAAAAAGTTTTGTCCCGTTACTTGATCTCTGAATGTTTGTTTTTTGCAATTTTTGGCATATGCGATCTCGAAGTATATACAAACATGTTTGACGATTGGATCGTTGAAACTAGTTTTGTAGAATGCGTATCCCATCAAAACAATAGATTCACTAACACTTAAGAGTTTATTCATACTTTCATTAAGTATAACATAAGATTTTGCGGTATCCGCTAGTGTAAATATTTTAAATTGAAGATCAAATTCATTCATTATATTCATATAGGGTCAAGGAGTATAACTGTAAAAAATCATCAAAATCGGAGTTAAAATAACAGTTAAATCGTGATTTTTCGTTTATAACCGTCGAAAAGTTTTGTCTTGTTACTTGATCTCTGAATGTTTGGTTTTTGCAATTTTTGGCGTATGCAATCTCAAAGTATATACAAACATGTTTGACAATTGGATCATTCAAACTAGTTTCGTAGAATGCGTATCTCATCAAAACAATATATTCACTAACACTTAAGAGTTTATTCATACTTTCATTAAGTATAACATAGGATTTTGTAGTATCCAGTAGTGTAAATATTTTAAATCGAAGATCGAATTCGTTCATTGTATTTATATAGGGTCAAGGAGTGTAGCTGTAAAAAATCATCAAAATCGGAATTAAAATAATTGTTAAATTGTGATTTTTCATTTATAACCGTCGAAAAGTTTTGTCCCGTTACTTGATCTTTGAATGTTTGTTTTTTGAAAGTTTTGGCTATGCGATCTCAAAGCATATACAAACAAGTTTGATGGTTGGATCGTTGAAATTAGTTTCGTAGGATGCGTATCCCATCAAAATGGTAGATTCACTAACACTTAGAGTTTATTTATACTTTCATTAAGTATAACATAAGATTTTGTGGTACCCACTAGAGTAAGTATTTTAAATTGAAGATCGAATTCATTTATTGTATTCATATAGGATGAAAGAGTGTAGTTATAAAAAATAATCAAAATCAGAGTTAAAATAATAGTTAAATCGTGATTTTTCATTTTATAACCAGCAAAAAGTTTTATTGGGTTACTTGATCTCTAAATGTTTGTTTTTTGTGATTTTTTGCTGATGCGATTTCAAAGCATATACAAACAAGTTTGACAGTTTGATCGTTGAAATTAGTTTCGTATAATTCGTATCTCATCAAGTTTAATGGTGTGTGTATATATATATTAAATAGATTTAAATGTATTTATTTTGTACGTATAATTATTATAGTTTTTAAGGGTATAAAATTTAATTTAAAATTTAATATATATATATATATATATATATATATATATAATTATTATAGTTAATTTAATATATATATATATATATAATTATAGTATTTTTTTAGGATTATAAAATTATAAAATTAATATTTTACTTATCGTATATCGTATTATCCACATGTATACCCGAACCAACCCGTTATCTTAACAAGCGTTTATTGGGTTACCCGATAACAACTCGATTCGTTATCGTGTCGATCCGAACACCTATTAATTTCATATCGTATCGTGTCGGATTATCAGGTCGTGTTAGGAATTACCAGGACTACCGTCAAGACACAGCCGACACTTTTTTGTGAATACAAAAGACATTTAGGGGCAATTTTTTAAATATTGAAAGGGTTTAGAGCTTGGAGGAAGGCTAAACTACAACTTTAATTCTCTATCCTGCCCCTACCACTCAATTCTCTCTCTCCTTCCCCATTTGAAACCCACTCTCTCTCTGTCTTTCTGTCTCTTTCTCGTCAGAAACCCAAAGCACATAAAACTTGCTGCTGCAAATCTTACATATATTTTGATTTGTTACAATCTTTTAGGAAATTGTATCTCATTTGGATTCAAATTATGGGGATTTTAGGTATTTTTAGATCTTAATTATTTATCGTGTATCAAGAAATTATTTGATTTTTTTATTTAAAATTAAACACAAATAGTACCTGATGAAAATTTGTCGCACCATATATGATAAACAACTAAAATTGGCCCCACAAAGTGGATCTGGAGAGGATCCTCTTCCGTCTGATAGGATTTTTATCACTAAAAAAAGTAGGAAAAAAAGCACCCAAAATATTTGCAAGAGAAACAAGATAATTATAGTATAACAGCTCAACCAAGATCGTTCTTCACATGAATTGTTGGAACAATTTATATTTAAAACAATTCTTAATTAATTATTTAACACAAAGTATAGAAAAAGATTTGAAATTGTGAATTAAAATAACAAGACAATGAAATAAAATCAAGTATTTAAAATCGGTAAAAATAGTAAAAAGATTAAAGGACAATTTTGAAAAATTAAATTTAAAAGACACTAGGATTCCGCAGTCATCTTAACAATTATACGTAGCTCTTCCAATTAGTTATGACTTATACATGCATACTTTGAAGGTTAAGTTTTCTTAATGTGTATTCTACTTGGACTCCCAAACTAGAATGTATAGCAACCATGCAACCCGTACATTCGCATCAAATCTGAACATGCAAAACACATTAAGTTTTATGAAAACCCTCTGAAAAGTCATGCAACCATTCAGATGTGGTATTCATTCGAAGTGAAATTACAATTATTAATTATAATAAAAACATTAGTCAATTTCAAGGACAACCCTCCAACCAAAATTGTATCAAATTACTTTCCTATATATTCTAATGGTAGCTAAGCATTAAGACAACTAGATGGTTTAAACATGATGATTAATAATTCAAAACTTGCATGTATAATTCATAAGAAAATTGAAAAGAAACTACATATTCTTACTAAGACTTGTGGCCTTGCCTTAGTAAAAGAAAGTAAGTTATGTATATTCATAATTAAAAAAAAAAAAATATCATTAAGAAGAAAACAGAAGGAACACTATCAAAGTAACAAATGGAATATTTGCCCCTTCAAAGATCTGCCACGTTCATAGACCATATCATCTCCAAATCAGGCCCTAGAGGTTTTGTTTTAAAGTTTGAGATGCCCTGAACAACTTTGTAGAAGGATCCAACTTCAGAAAACACCATATTGGATGCCAAAAAGCCCATTTAACCCTGAAACATCACTTTTGCCAATTCCCAATGATAAGGCTTATGAGAATTGGCTCGGAGTTGAGTCAGTAATGGATGAAGTCATTTCTTGAGGTGCGTAATCCACCTAAACAATAATAATTAGTAACCGTATGGTTATAACTCAATAAAAATTTTAAATTAAAGGAATGATGCATACATATATAAATTGGTGTTGCTCTGTGAATGATGTCACTTATGAAGACAACGGAGCATTTATCAACCAAATTAAGAAGGAATACATCAAAGGAGACAATATCAAGCACATTGTGCCGGAATTCTTCTTTTCACATCAACAAAAGAGCATCACAACATTGAAGTCAAGCTAATCCATTTTCAGGACAACCTGGCTGATCTCCTCACGAAGATATTGCCAAAGTCTAATTTTCAAAAGTTTGTCCAAGGAATCGGTATGCGTAAAATATATGATCAGAATTGATTGTAGTTTTCATTTTAGGAAGTTTTGTCAAACTCAGGGGTAGTATCCAGAAGTATACTCCCTTAATCTTAATGTACTTTTTTTGCCTAGGATTAGGGGCATTTTTTCCACTGGTTTTTGTTACTAACTAAGCTTTAACGAGGCACCTACATTGGGCTAGTCATACCCTTACGAGGTTTTTCTACTTTCGTTCCATAGACGTTTAGTTTTGACATCATGCATACTTCT